GGGCCTGTGAGGATGGAGGGCGCGGAGCTGGAGGGGGACGAGGAGAACCTTCAGGAGGAAGGAGAGGAAGAAGAGGAGAAAGAGGGAGAAGAGGAGGAAGAGGCGGAGGAGAGGAAGGCTGTGGAAGAGCAAGAGGAGGAAGAAGAGGTGAGGGAGGGGCTCTCAGCACCCCCTGGCTTTGGTTAGGCCAACGCTGGCGTTTTGCTCTCTCCTTCTCTCCCAGGTGCCGGCCCCGTGTCCCCTTACGGAAGAGCTCCTGAAGGAGGGCCTCTCTCTCCTCTGTAAGACCGGCAATGGCCTGGCCCACGCCTATGTAAAATTTGAAGCCACACACAAGTGAGTGCACAACACCCGGCAGTCTGTGCTTCAGCGTAGCTTGTCCATCCTCAGCCCTGAGCTGGGGCCTGCCTCCACCGTAGCCAGATGCACTGGTGGAAATGTCAGTGTCCCCCTAGACTGAGGGGAGCCTGTCCATCCCTCTGGACTGTGGTCCTCTAAGGGGACCTGAACAGAGTGCTCTCCCTACGGTCACTTTGAGAAATCTCTCCTGTTAACTGCTAACCTTTAAGGCGTACACTTGTATGTAACAGTGCCATAATGGCCTGGGGACAGTTTGGAGCCTCAGCCCCATCAGTACACCCACATAACCCTAGACCTAACTAACAGGCCTCAAAAAGACTGTGTCTTTCAGCAGCCTCATAGGTATCTCAACCAGCTTTTTCCCACTATTAAAGTCCTTCCACACAGTCCTGGGTGTTACCATTATTAACAGACACGCACACACCAGAGGGCTTTTCTGTTCTGGTTCTGCCCTCTCCTCACAGGTACAGTTTAATGGGAATAATAAGTACTCCCTATGCCAGGAAAGCAAGTCCAATCTTAACATTCAGCCTTGTTTACAGATGGTTCGGCCTGCCCATGTCACCTGCCTTTTTCCTATTTCTCCCCACCAAGGCTTCTAAGGACAGCAAGAAAGTGGGAGAGGAGGATGCTCTCCCTCCAGTAGTGGTCAGGAGAAAACTGATGGTAGCAGGGGGAAATATGAGAGATGCTTTATTAACATCCTCCCTCCCACAGGGACTTGACAGATATCAGCATCCTCGAATTCTTCATTCACCTGCGGTATGTGGATTTGTCAGAGAACAAGCTGAAAGATTTGTCTCCACTGAGCAGTCTAACCCACCTGCTTTGGCTGAAGGTGGATGGGAATCTGCTTACCAGTACCTGCATGCAGGAGCTGCCCTACCTCCAGATCATCAGCTTTGCTAACAACTGCATCAAGAATACGGAGGGCATTACTCACCCTCGCTTGGCCAGCCTCAACCTGAAAGGTGATACAGACCACCTCCCTTCATTCCTGTGCACATAGGATGCTCTCCTTGGGTGGGATTAACTCTCTGCTTGTTTCTTCCTTCTCTGGCACTCAGAAAATAAAATCCAGACAGTGATGGGCCTGAGTCACGGCCAATTGTTCAGCCTGCAGATCCTGGAGCTGCGAGGAAACAGGCTAAAGAGCACAGCAGGGCTCAATCTTCCCAAGCTCAAGAACCTCTACCTGGTAAGGGATCAGCCAGCTAAGGCTTAAGGGATCAGCCAGCTAAGGCAGTGACACAGAGTTGCTGCAGAGCCTGGCACCTCCTGTTGGTTGGAGGAGGGAAGGAGGCTGTCCTCTTCAAAGCAGCATAATTTTTGTGTTAGCCCATTCAGTTCCATCTTCTCAGCCTGAGAGAGGAACAGATTTCAGAGAGCTAAAGAGTCAAAATCACGTCTTTGGGGCAGCTCCTTCTACTCTGTCTGCCCAGATAGTGCAAAGGGAGTAGAGTTGGCAATGTTCAGTGCACCAGGTTCTTCCCTCCCGGCCTCCTATGGGAGAGCGCTGTTCTCTTCCGGCAGGGTTAGGTCAGCCTGAGTTCTGTGTCTGGGGACCTCTGGGGGTCAGCGGGAAAAGCAACGGGTTTGCTCTGGGTGACAAGGGCAGGTGGTGGCTCTTTCTCCTCCGATGGGCCTAATCAAATACTGGTTTAAAACCAGTACAATTACATGATTCACACCTTCAGCTGCCAAAAAAAGAAGCTGATTGAACATCACAGTGAAACTAAGATAGGAGGACCAATTTCCTAATATCGTAAACACTTACTTCGGGGAAGATTCACTCCTAGAGATGCAAGTGAAGAAAGTACGTATGGCTTAGTCCCATGCATCGCTTGCGAAGATTGGATAGGTGTCCTGAGTCACTACCTCTTCAAAAGCAATTAAAGGCTTTGGAAAGCTATATGGTTTCTTTTCATCAAGACTTCCTGGCAGAAAGCACTGAGGGGATTGTTTGCTGAGATTATCTGCCAGTTCCTGGCAGAAAACTGAGATTCTAGGGCTAGAGGTGATGGAAGAAGGGATGAAGTGGATAAGTCACTAGATGTAATACAGAATTTCAAAATAAAACCAGTCACTTTAGTGAATGTTTGAAGGAAAGCAAGCACTGCACCTGTATTTAAAGAAGGTTCCTGACATGACAGCGGAATTTCTGAGCTGCACATATGAAGTGGGCAAATTGCAAGATGTGATTATTAAAACTAGAACAACTGACTCATTTCTCAGGAATCTTTGGGGCTTGAATTTGTCTCCCATGTCTGCCTGCTCACGAAATCATTTTGGAGGAGGGTCTCTCCCAGTATGCTTTGCTTTCTGCATGAAGACTCTGGTATTACTGGGACCATGAGTAGAGGAGGCTGGTGCCTTAAGGACAGGGTTCAAGACAAAGAGTTCAATTTAAAGGACTCAAACCAAATTTGGTAAATGTATGACCTAGTTGCAGATGAAGTTTAGCATTAAAACAAAATATACCTACTAGCAGGAAGACTACAAGCTGGCTGCATACCATGTGGCACTTGTATTGGTTTGAAGATCACTGCTGTCATTGTGCAGCCGTGGTGACAAAGGCAAGGTTAGGAATGTGGGAATGGGAGAGGGAATCATGGGGGACACGTTATAGTAGCTTTCCATGAGACATGATGGCATCACATCTATGTGAAGCACTGGAATCTAAGGTAAGGTGATGATGTGAACATTTAATTAAAGGTGTTGTATGGAATGTTCTTTGATTTAGGGGAAAAAAAAACCAACCCTGAAGAAAATCCATTCTGCATCTGTCCTGTTAGTGCTTGCAGGGCCAGAGCTGTTAAAACTACTCACACTGAAGTAATGAAGAGAGTGAGAGTGATGGGAGGTTACTATTCATTTTACAGACCAGTGATCTGTGAGCTCCCCACCCTATTTCCCACACCGGCTCCTGATTTCCTCTGAGGTGCAATTTACTAATCCTTCCTGGTTGTTAAATCTGCTCACACAACCTTCACTACATCTCTGACTTCCCTCATTTGGTCCTTATGTCTTTACTTGGCCCAGCTTATCCAGATTTTTCCTTGTTCAGTTTCCATTAGAGTCCACATTTCCTACAAAACGTCGTTTTCCTAAGTGACACAGTCCTCAACTGTTCTCTTATCCCACCAGTTCAGCCTGTGCCCATTTCATTAGCCTCGGTCATTGGCCACAGCCCTGCACGGGTACCAACAAGGAACAGAGAGCACTCACTCCCCATTTTCCATGTAGGTATCTGCATCTTAAGGGACTGCAACCCCCAGCCACAGTCACAAGTGAAACCCTGGGCAGCTCCAGGCTGGAGGTTGTGGTTACCAGGGATGTTCCAAACTTGGCTGCACAAGGCTGTGAGCAGCCGGAGGTAGCGTTGGAGCTGGCACTGCAGTGAGCCCGGGGCCGGGCAGGAGACATCTAGTGGTCTTTTCCAGCTGAAATCCTGCTGTCAAGCTATCGCTGAAATGCAAAACGTTGTATTTCCCCATCTCATAACACACATCACGGGGAAGTGAATAAAATTCAATGATAGGGAATTTTGAACAGATAGGACACATTTACCTGCTGTAAGATTGTCAGATTTGTTGCAAGAAAATGCACATACAGATGGATAACAACAATTATAGCTAGAAAAGCTTAGAATTCAACTAGCCAAAAACCCCCACCCCCCTGCAACCTCTCTTGGGAACACACAGCCTGCTTCTGCTCCTAGAAGCGGAGACTTCTTGGTAGTGGATTTTCCCTGCAAGACAAGCAGCTGACACTGGAAGATCCTGAGCTATATGGACTATGTGATAGAGAGGAGCTGGTTATTCATTCTTTAAATACACTTGTTTCAGGCTCAGGTCCATTCGTTCCCCTCCATGCTGTTGCTCTCTGAGGCCTCAGGGACTCAGATTTGGCACTGCCATGGAAGGGGGTGCTGCGCTGGCACTACAGTATTCATCTGGTGTGGCTTTGTCTCGGTCGCCAAGTGATGCTACAGGAAACACCTTTTCAGCAAACTTTTGGTTCTTGAATCTGAACAGTTAGAACCCATTTGGACAAGACCCCGAGGGACCTGATCTAGCTTCAGAGGAGGCTGAAGGGTAGAAAGAGCTTTAAAGGCCAGAAATAACTGCTGTGCCCTCTCCTGTGTGTCCCCCTTTCCCTTCTCCTCCTGCCTCCCTGGCGCTCAGGCCCAGAATGCCATTCGGAGCCTTGAAGACCTGGAGGGGCTAGAGCAGCTGACAACTCTGCACCTGCGTGACAACCAGCTCAAGACCCTGGATGGATTCAGTAGCAGCATGAAGTGCCTGCAGTACCTCAATCTACGGTGGGTCCTCCCTGCTCTGTGTTGGGGCCAGAGACCCCTTCATCAGGCTGCACTCCCATTTAGATCTTCAGGATTTTCTGGTTTCTTTGGAAGTTGAGGACCTGATGGGGATGGGTTGATCTTTACTGTCCTTGACTGGTGTTCAGCACACAGCTGTCTGTAAGTATAATAGCCAGGGCCTTTCCTGGGCTGCTCAGAAAAGATCTGCCTCTCCAGTCACTCTCACACCCCACCTCATACTTTTTATTCCTTGCCATAACTCCTTTGCATCCCTCCAAGTGTGTTCTCTGTGTCCTGGCCGTGACCGCAAGTGCCCTTGTTGGTATTTGCCGTACAGCACAATGGCGATATCAGACAATTCAATGGGCTGTTTGAGCACAGAGAAAGCCAGAGGAGGAAATGTCCTTTTTGTCCCTCAGTCTGGGGAGCTGCAGACAGATCTGGATCTTTGATCACAGGTCTGTGGTCTAAGGTGTGCGGTCTATCGTGCTGCTAAGTTTTACTGTGTCTTGTCAGGTCACTGTTCTGAAGGGATCTCACTACTCACACGTCCCTTTTCCTTGCTCCTTGTGCTTCCTCTTCTCCAGGAACAATAGGATCAGCAGCCTTCAGGAGGTGGCAAAACTGCAGGCCCTCCCCATGCTGCAGGCACTGGTGCTGATGGACAATCCATGCTCTGAAGAAGCCGATTACCGAATAGAAGTCCTGATTCTGCTGCCATACCTGCAGCGCCTCGATAAGGAACCATTTGAGCAAGATGAACGGGAAGAGGCGGACAACATCCGTCAGCACAGGCAGGAGGAAGAAGAGGTGAGAACAGCATGGGCAGGGGGAGAAGAAGGAAGTGAAAGCGAGAGGATCAGACATGCTGATCAAACCTCTCCTCCTCTAGATCACATGAGGAGAAGGCTGAGGGAGGTCAGTCCCAAGGGCAGAGGAGCCTGAAACAGAGACCGGGCCTCACAACCTGGTTGTGATGCCCAGCATTGCAACCCAACTGCCATTCGCAAGCCCGCCAGCAGAAATGAGCAGTGAAAGGGGAAGTCACAGGAGTCATTTAACTTCTCCCTCTTTCCTTCTTCAGGAAGCAGAAGGATCTCTCCAGGGTGATGAGAATGAGTGAGCCCTGGTATTAACACCCGTTCCGGGAGCTGGTCAAGATTTGGAGATGCCTTCCCCCACACGTGCAGTTGCAGGTAGCAGAGGCACTTTCACCTTATTTTGCCCCGGCAGGAAAGAGGAGGGCTACCCACCCTGCTCCTGGAAGCTGCCCTGATATACTGCAGTGTTTTTGCAGTCACTGCACTCACACGCTCTATTCTCAGTAGGCCTAAGAGGGGAAAGGGGAGAGTTACAGGCTCTGTGTTTTGATTTATGGCTCCCCAAAATCCCACGATTTTTTTTTTTTAATTTGAATAAAAACGATTAACAAGCCTGGAGCGACTGGAATTGTTTATCCTGCCTGCCCGCCCACCCACC